ACGTTACCCCTCAGTCAGAGGGGGGTTCAGATGATTACTGTCCTGCCGGTGTGGCATCAGCTCGTCAGCAACAACATAGAAAGCATAAAGTAACATCCAGCAAGCTCGTCTGACCCGAGTCTAATGCCACACTGAAACCTTCGAAGAAGTCAGTCCTCACAATGCAGACAAGCCACACACACTGTAACACTCAGCTGTACGCCTCTGCAGTAAATCCCATGTTGTTGAAGGCAGCCATATTGTCTTCAAAATTTATCGGTGTGTGTGTGACCTGCCTCAGACAAGGTCAACCACACACACATCGGGAGGCGTTTCAGACTCTGATGCAGACCTGCAGCGCCTTCGTCCTGTTAGTCGTCAAAGTGGCGACTCAGAAACCGCAGATCTGGGCCCAGACACACTGATCAGGACCAGATCAGTGATTTCTAAAGAACAATACGAAAAGAACTTACAGGAAGTCGGAAGGAGGAAGTCCAGGAAATACTGATTCAAGAGAACCAGAGGAAACTCAAAATCCAAAGACAGGAGACGACAAACAGCTAAGACACAGACTGTATTCAGAACCGCCTACTTACATACTACTGGCAACCGCAGTATGTACTACATACTGCATAAAGTGTGCAGCATGTATGTACTGCATACATACATCGACCAGGCTTAGCCAGGTTCAGTTTTGGAATAGAGGCCTGCAAGCCCGTCGGGTCCGGCTGGGTCGATTTGGGCCGGCTCAGGTCAGTTTCTCTTTTGATAGATGGGGACTCGGGTCCATTTAACTTCTCTCCTTTTCTTGTGCCCTTATATGTGCAGAGAACACACAGGCTTTCTGTGTGGAATATTGTTGTATTCAGTGCTTAATTTGTGCCGGAGCCAGCTGGAGCGCCGCTCGTCACAGCACTGCCTTTCTACATCCAGCCTAACAGGGTTAGTCTAATGGTCTAATCTTATTTACTCTTAGATTAGGTAGCTAATAATGGTTTCTGATCACCCGTTAAAACAATGTGAAGGTACGCCATGCGTTTAAATGATTAATTATTTGATCGTAAATTATTAATTCAATATTTTCGGCAGATGGCACATTTCACATGCTCCACCACCTAAGAATTTACAAATGAAGCACTGGTTTTATAGATTATATTGTAAAATGCCTAAGCAATAGGAACATAGGCTACTTGTGCCTTACAGCTGATCATGCGGAGCAGAGAGCAGCTGGAGCGTGATCGTACATCGAAAAGGCCGCGCGTCAGAGACGGCGGGAAATGATGTCGGTCTCAGGCTGAAAAATAGCAGATGTTATAGGGCTGGGGCCGGGCTGGGCTTGAACACCACGGGTCAGGGCCGGAGTTTTGGGTCCCTGCAGGGCTCTAATTTTGGAAATGAGTAAACAATAGGAGGAATTATAGACATTTTTTAAATGTAATCTTGAGTCAGGAGAACAAGGCTGCAGCCGATCTGTAGCAGAATTTGTTTTGGTTTATTGATGAGAGAGTACAGTAACATTACACTAACGTGATGTCTGTGTAGAATAATGATAATAATAGAGCATCGACAGCCCCCTTTCATACTGCTGCTATTTACTTTTTTCACAAACAGGCAGAGCACAAACAGGTGGAACATCAACAGCTGGACCACAAACAGGCAGAGCACAAACAGGCGGAACACAAACAGGCAGAGCACAAACACCCGTAACACAAACAGGCGTAACATCAACAGGCGGACCACAAACAGGCGGACCACAAACAGCTGGACCACAAACAGGCGGAACATCAACAGCTGGACCACAAACAGACGGAACATCAACAGCTGGACCACAAACGGGCAAAGCACAAACAGGTGGAACATCAACAGCTGGAACACAAACAGGCGGAACACAAACAGCTGGACCACAAACAGGCAGAGCACAAACAGGCGGAACATCAACAGCTGGACCACAAACAGGCGGAACATCAACAGCTGGAACACAAACAGGCGGAACACAAACAGGCAGAGCACAAACACCCGTAACACAAACAGGCGTAACATCAACAGCTGGACCACAAACAGGCGGAACATCAACAGCTGGAACACAAACAGGCGGAACATCAACAGCTGGAACACAAACAGGCGGAACATCAACAGCTGGACCACAAACAGGCAGAGCACAAACAGGCGGAACACAAACAGCCGTAACATCAACAGGCGGACCACAAACAGGCGGACCACAAACAGCTGGACCACAAACAGGCAGAGCACAAACAGGCGGAACATCAACAGCTGGACCACAAACAGGCGGAACATCAACAGCTGGAACACAAACAGGCGGAACATCAACAGCTGGAACACAAACAGGCGGAACATCAACAGCTGGACCACAAACAGGCAGAGCACAAACAGGCGGAACACAAACAGGCGGAACATCAACAGCTGGACCACAAACAGGCGGAACATCAACAGCTGGAACACAAACAGCGGAACATCAACAGCTGGAACACAAACAGGCGGAACATCAACAGCTGGACCACAAACAGGCAGAGCACAAACAGGCGGAACACAAACAGGCAGAGCACAAACACCCGTAACACAAACAGGCTTAACATCAACAGGCGGACCACAAACAGGCGGACCACAAACAGGCAGAGCACAAACAGGCGGAACATCAACAGCTGGACCACAAACGGGCGTAACATCAACAGCTGGAACACAAACAGGCGGAACACAAACAGGCAGAGCACAAACACCCATAACACAAACAGGCGTAACATCAACAGCTGGACCACAAACAGGCGGAACATCAACAGCTGGAACACAAACAGGCGGAACATCAACAGCTGGACCACAAACAGGCAGAGCACAAACACCCGTAACACAAACAGGCGGAACATCAACAGGCGGACCACAAACAGGCAGACCACAAACAGGCAGAGCACAAACAGGCGGAACACAAACAGGCAGAGCACAAACACCCGTAACACAAACAGGCTTAACATCAACAGGCGGACCACAAACAGGCGGACCACAAACAGCTGGACCACAAACAGGCAGAGCACAAACAGGCGGAACATCAACAGCTGGACCACAAACGGGCGGAACATCAACAGCTGGACCACAAACAGGCAGAGCACAAACAGGCGGAACATCAACAGCTGGACCACAAACGGGCGGAACATCAACAGCTGGAACACAAACAGGCGGAACACAAACAGGCAGAGCACAAACACCCATAACACAAACAGGCGTAACATCAACAGCTGGACCACAAACAGGCGGAACACAAACAGGTGGAACATCAACAGCTGGAACACAAACAGGTGGAACATCAACAGCTGGAACACAAACAGGTGGAACACAAACAGACGGAACACAAACAGGTGGAACATCAACAGCTGGAACACAAACAGGTGGAACATCAACAGCTGGAACACAAACAGACGGAACACCAACAGGTGGACCACAAACATGCGGAGCACAAACAGGTGGAACATCAACAGCTGGAACACAAACAGGCGGAACACAAACAGGTGGAACACAAACAGGTGGAACACAAACAGACGGAACACAAACAGGTGGAACACAAACAGGTGGAACATCAACAGCTGGAACACAAACAGACGGAACACAAACAGGTGGAACATCAACAGCTGGAACACAAACAGGTGGAACATCAACAGCTGGAACACAAACAGACGGAACACCAACAGGTGGACCACAAACATGCGGAGCACAAACAGGGAAACACTAATACACAAATATGCGGAGCACAAACAGCTGGAACGTTTTCTGCTCCTAACTCTACAGTGATTTAAGCGCCAAGTTAATCGATAAGCGGTCTGGCAGACGGAGCCACAGGCGGGCGCCATCCCGTGAAAGTGTCGTGGTCGCCTCACGTTCTATTGTCTTGAACGTTTATGTACGCGACACACAGCGCAAAAGAATAAATGAATTTCATTTATCTGACGCTTTTATCCAAAATGACTTACAATTGCTATACATAACTTGCTCAAGGACACAATGGTGGATGGCTTACAGTGGGAATCGAACCCAGGTCTCCCACACCAAAAGCAAGCATCTTATCTATGCGCCATCACCCCATCCAAATTAAAGGAGGAGAGACAGATCCTCGCCTTGAGTGGAGATGGTAGCGGCTTTCAGGAAGAGCCCAGCCTCCCCCATCACCCTGTGACTCCACAGTCGTCCTTCTGGATACCATCATCAACCAGGACCTCCAGTGGTACCTGAACATCCCTCCTCCACATTCAACTGGTTCCACTGGTTTAAACTGGGTTCAGAGTTTCTGAAAACTCTGTTCACCTGAGTGTGTGTGTGTGTGTGCGCTACATAAAGGACATTTTGTCCCAATTTAATTAAGTGTGGACCCCCCCCCCCCCCAGCACACACATACATTACTGAGGAATTTAATTTACTGTGTGTGGGCGGGTTGTCTCAGACCTGTCAATCAAACACTGACCTGTGGATACCCCCAAGACTGTGTGTGTTCATAAAGCTGAGGCGGCAGGTTGTGGTAACCACGGCAACCGGCTGTGCGGTCAGTCACACACAGAGGTTTGAATAACTTTTAAGTAATCTGATTACTCGTCAGCTGTGTGTGACATCATCACCTTTAAAAAGACAGCAGAGAAAGTTTGACTTCCTGTCGACTGACACACTTTCTCACCTCTGTCAGTTCACAGATTTCCATCACCATGGAAACATTTAGAAATAGGGATTAAATATTTAAAAACGTGTGATGTTTCATGTTTCCTGTCTGAGCAGATTTAAAGGTGTAACTCGTCCTCTCGGTGCGACTGTGAAAGTCTTCCCCGGGGACGGCCGACACCGAAAGGCCTTCAGCAGAGAGAGAGAGATCAAACAGATTAATTCATGAAGTTGAAACATTAACCTGGAATATTAATACAGAGCGTGGCGGGGGAGGGAAGGACAGATCTGATCAATTATTGATGGCGGTCGACTTAAGGTGGAATCCTTTAAGGTGGTCGGGTTTATTTAAAGCATGTTTTTTCTCTCAGCTCTCGACCAGGTCGTCCTCCGAAGCGAACCCTGGGCGTGGCCACGGTGACCGACGGCTCCAGACTCCTCTCACACGGTCTGATAAGCCCCGCCCTGCTGTCACAAACAGGTGAGTCACACAAGCGCCCCCTGCAGGAGCTTCATTAGTTCTGCTGCTAGGCCAGTAGTCTCTCTGCTGTAGCTGACACATATCGATCTGCCTTCACATCTGTTACACGCCAAAGAGCGCCGATCTACGTGTACTAAGTGTACAGGGGTGGTGATGGCGCAGTGGATGAGACACATGCCTTTGGTGCGACCTCTGACATAAATAGCAGCTGTAAGTCACTTTGGATAAAATGAGTAAATGAAGTGTACTGAATGATGCTGGTGGGTTTCACCCTGAACCCCGCCTGACAGGCAGCCTGCTTACTTACTTACTGAAGCAGTTCTGGACTTTAGCTGCAGGTTCCTGTCTGAGAGCATCTCAGCGTGGCTGCTGTGATTAGAGCTATAATTAGCACGCTTAATTAGCAGATGTCAAAATGACTGACAGATTGGAGCCTGACCTGAAGCACTGTGTCTGTTTCTGTGTGTGTGTTACTGCGTGTGTGTTACTGCGTGTGTGTGTGTGTTACTGCGTGTGTGTTACTGCGTGTGTGTTACTGCTTGTGTGTTACTGCTTGTGTGTTACTGTGTGTGTTTCTGTCTGTGTGTTTCTGCGTGTGTGTTTCTGCGTGTGTGTTACTGCGTGTGTGTGTGTTACTGCGTGTGTGTTACTGCGTGTGTGTTACTGCGTGTGTGTTACTGCTTGTGTGTTACTGCTTGTGTGTTACTGTGTGTGTTTCTGTCTGTGTGTTTCTGCGTGTGTGTTTCTGCGTGTGTGTTACTGCGTGTGTGTGTGTTACTGCTTGTGTGTTTCTGTCTGTGTGTTTCTGCGTGTGTGTTTCTGCGTGTGTGTTACTGCGTGTGTGTGTGTTACTGCTTGTGTGTTACTGCATGTGTGTTACTGCGTGTGTGTTACTGCTTGTGTGTTACTGTGTGTGTTTCTGCGTGTGTGTTTGTGTGTGAGCGTGTGTGTTACTGCATGTGTGTATGTTTCTGTCTGTGTGTTTCTGCGTGTGTGTGTGTGCGTGTGTGTGTTGCTCTGGGCGACACGCGTCAAAAATGTAATTTCATCTTCAAAAAGCCGACAGGCGAGCAGCTTAAGAGGATCGCGGGAGTGTGTGAGAGTTAATTGTTGTTATTTTGCTTTTGTTGTTGATGTTCATGAGTCCAAGTGACATCATGTTCAGAGCCCTGGCTCTGATTGGACCGTTACCTAACTTCAATCCTGAGGCCAGAACAGAACCTTAGACAGCTCATCAGAATCCAGATCAGAACAGTGTGATTGTCTTGTTCTCAGCAGAGAAACCGGCAGCTGATGGTTCTCTACCGGAGACGCTCTCGCACCGAGTAGAGTCATACGACCATCCAAAAAACACAAGGATTTATTAAACGGTGTATGATGTGTTACAGGAAGCAGAGAGTCTGTTTGTCCCAGTTTGCTTCATCAATAGTTGTGGGCCAGAGTTCACACGGTCCGGGCCTAATGGGAGGAGGGATCTCACAGGAACCGATCCTTGGGCCAAGTCGATGCCAAAATTCTGGAAACATCACAGTACTTGTTTTTCTACAGTACTGGAGGTACGGGTGATCCAACACGTAGAAGATGGCAACAGCTGCAGCTGCACCGTTGTGTTCGCAGACCGGGATCAGGACAGTTTCCTCCAACAGCTCCGTGTCAGAGCCGGTTCTGTTGGAGAGCTGATTTAGACGCTTCCAAGAACTGGACGTTTGTCCGACGCTCCTGTTACTGTAGGGGGGAGTCAGGGACCGTCTGAGAAGGTCAACACGGTCCATTTCAACATCCTCACAGGTACCGACGCTCAGAGTCCAACGTTCCCCAGGATGAAGCAAATGTTTCGCTGGAGGTGGGAGTCGAAGACCTCAGGACTGGGGCCTCAGCCGGACCCAGTTCACTCTCAGTGCACATTCAGGTTTACCAAGTCCATCTGGTTCCAGATGTATAACCTCACCAAGTTGGCACCACAACCAGAACAGATCAAGCAGGCTTTCCCCCTTCAGCTTTCTATCATTGCCTACTTGACCAAAGGGATATGGTTTATTTAAAGCTTTTATCTAAAGACCCGATCTACCTCCTGAACCACAGCCGCCCCATTAATGTGCCCAGAACAACTAGTCATCACCTTCCCAGAGACTCCAGGATCCTCTGGACTGCAGAGATGAGTCCGAGCCTTCCTGGTGCACAGAGGCTGTGGCAGTCGGGTCAAGACTGCGATGAGGATGACGAGCGTGCAGATGAGCTTCCCTGAGACGGTTCCTGACAGTTTGTGCAGAAAAACTTTGGTCATGCAAACCAATTGTTGCAGCAGCTGTCCGGGCGGCTGGTCTCAGACGATCATGGAGGTGAAGAGGCTGGATGTGGAGGTCCTGGGCTGGTGTGGTTACACGTGGTCTGCGGTTGTGAGGCCGGTTGGATGTACTGCCAAATTCTCTGAAACGCCTTTGAAGACGGCTTATGGTAGAGAAATGGACATTCAGTTCACGGGCAACAGCTCCGGTGTACATTCCTGCAGTCGGCACGCCAACTGCACGCTCCCCCAAAACTTGAGACATCTGTGGCGTTGTGCTGTGTGATGGAACTGCACATTTTGGAGTGGCCTTTTATTGTGGCCAGCCAAAGGCCTTTTATTGTGGCCAGCCTAAGGCCTTTTATTGTGGCCAGCCAAAGGCCTTTTATTGTGGCCAGCCTAAGGCCTTTTATTGTGGCCAGCCTAAGGGACACCTGTGCAGTCTCCATGCTGTCAGATCAGCATCTTGATTATCTCAGCAAAGGAGAAGTGCTCACTAACACAGATTTTGACAGATTTGTGAACAATATTTGAGTGTTAGATCTTTGAGTTCAGCTCATGATGAATGGGGGCAAAAACAAAAGTGTTGCCTTTATAATTTTGTTCAGCGTAGTTAGGTGGCATAACTCCGCCACCGTCTGCCGCCAGACTGACAGACCACCCAACACTAACCTGATGGTGGCGAGGACATGTGGCATCGACCCCACGTTATATTTTGGCAGCTTGTGGTCCAGCTTCACTCCCAGCCCGGACTCCAGGACGGACTGTCAGCCCGTTTCAGGAGCTTCACCACACCCTCGTGCTGACACAGTAGTTATTACTATTTACTGCTATTAGCTGCTAGCACGTGTCCTCCATTATTACTCAGCGGCGTCCTCTGACGGAGGCTTCAGGACGCCGCTGATGGAGACGAGTCAGAAGTCTTTTCATGTTTCTGCTCAGCAGAGACGCTCCGGTGGTCTCAGAGAGGAGGAACCACATACTGAACTTTTCACCTCCGTCACCTCGCTGACAGCTTAATGAAAACACCACCCACACACACACACACACACACACACACAGTAACACACACACACTTTTTTTATTAAAAAAGTCAAACTGCCACATTTCTTGACTGAGGTCAAAGACAGAGATCAAAGGAAAAAGAAAATTATTAACTCTGCACACACACACACACTGTAACACACGCACACACTGTAACACACACACACACACACGCACACACTGTAACAAACACACACACACACACACACACTGTAACACACACACACACACACATACACGCTGTAAACACACACACACTGTAACACACACACACACTGTAACACACACACACACACACACTGTAACACACACACACACACACACACACTGTAACACACACACAGACACACACACGCACACACTGTAACACACACACACACACACACACGCTGTAAACACACACACACACACACACACACTGTACACACACACACACACACTGTACACACACACACACACACACTGTAACACACACACACACACACACACACAGACACACACTGTAACACACACACACACACACACACACACACACACACACACACAGACACACACACACTGTAACACACACACACACAGACACACTGTAACACACACACACAGACACAAACACACACAGACACACTGTAACACACACACACAGACACACACACACACTGTAACACACACACACTGTAACACACACACACAGACACACACACACACTGTAACACACACACACTGTAACACACACACACTGTAACACACACACACACACAGACACACTGTAACACACACACACAGACACACTGTAACACACACACAGACACACACACACACTGTAACACACACACACTGTAACACACACACACTGTAACACACACACACAGACACACACACACTGTAACACACACACACTGTAACACACACACACTGTAACACACACACACACACACACACTGTAACACACACACACTGTAACACACACACACTGTAACACACACACACAGACACACAGACACACTGTAACACACACACAGACACACTGTAACACACACACACAGACACACACACACACTGTAACACACACACTGTAACACACACACACACAGACACACTGTAACACACACACAGACACACTGTAACACACACACACAGACACACACACACACACTGTAACACACACACACAGACACACTGTAACACACACACACAGACACACACACACTGTAACACACACACAGACACACACACAGACACACTGTAACACACACACACAGACACAAACACACACAGACACACTGTAACACACACACAGACACACTGTAACACACACACAGACACACACACACACTGTAACACACACACACTGTAACACACACACACAGACACACACACACTGTAACACACACACACTGTAACACACACACACTGTAACACACACCCACACACAGACACACTGTAACACACACACACACACAGACACACTGTAACACACACACACAGACACACACACACACACTGTAACACACACACAGACACACACACACACTGTAACACACACACACAGACACACACACACACACACACACACACACACACAGACACACACACACACAGACACACTGTAACACACACACACAGACACACTGTAACACACACAGACACACTGTAACACACACAGACACACTGTAACACACACAGACACACTGTAACACACACAGACACACTGTACACACACACACAGACACACTGTAACACACACACAGACACACTGTAACACACACACAGACACACACACAGACACACTGTAACACACACACAGACACACTGTAACACACACACACAGACACACACACACTGTAACACACACACACACACACACACACTGTAACACACACACACTGTAACACACACACACACACACACACACTGTAACACACACACACACACACACACACACACACACACACACACACACACACACAGACACACACACACACACAGACACACACACACACAGACACACTGTAACACACACACACACACACACAGACACACACACACACACACACACACACAGACACACTGTAACACACACACACACAGACACACTGTAACACACACACACACACACAGACACACACACACACACACACACACACTGTAACACACACACAGACACACACAGACACACACACAGACACACACACACACACGCTGAGTTAATTAAAATGCAAAGCTTGGAGGATAAAGTGAAGGTCTGGTTTTCTGGACGGAGTCACAAAGAACAAAACAAGTCAAACGGTTTCTGCTGCTACGAACATTTGAACGTCTCTGTGGAGCAGCGCAGCGAGAGGCATTGTGGGTAACCTTAGGCTGCGGCGGAACGATAGCTCCCAAATGCCAACTCTGCGTATATAAAAGCTTCTGAGAACATCTGCCTGCAGCCCGGAGGTGAAGCCAGCTGTCACTGGAACAACAGTTTGAAAACTAGAACGGGCATTTCCTTAAGAAAACGCGTGTGAGAGCTGCCAGCTGTTTTTTGCGATTGCTACCGCTGTCGGTGCAACGTGAGACACAAATATGTGTTAAGTTTGGCCCCCTTTTCGTTAACATCTGGATCCGGAGCAAGAGCAAGACCTAAACCACCGGACTACTCAGATAGACTGTGAAGGGAAGGCTTTCAAGTTTCTTTGTCAATCATGGCTTATTCTGACAAAAAAATGGCTCCTAAGCACCAATAAGCATGTTTTGCTCTGTGATGGCTACTGCGCTGCTGAAGAATAAATATATAACAGTTCCTGACCGTTTGTGCAGAAATTCTTTGGTCGCACGCGGTGAGTGGCGTGCGGCGTGGTCGTCTGCTGTTCCTGTTGATGAATGTTTCTGTTTTCTTCTCTGATCAAACAGGAAACTCTGAAACAGGACGAATGAATCAAAGTGACGTTTGTTTCCTGTTAAAGTCACTCCGGTGTTTCCTGGATCGACTCTGCGCTCAGGTTTAAATTAAAGATGAGTGAAGAAGAAACAGAGTCGGCGTGCAGCCGTCTTTATGCTAAGCTAAGCTAAGATGAAGCCAGGTGACAGGAAGTGTTCCGGTTTCAGAAGCTGGAAGAATAAAAGCAGGGAGAATCTGTTGAAGGAGCCGGAGGGGGGGGCGCCGCACGCTCGTTAGCAGGACTCCCTCGTTAATACTAATTGGATTAAATTAATTGGGGCGATCGGCTGCAGGGAGAGAGACAGTCACTGGAGACGTCAGCCTGCCGGGGTCATTAATTATTGATCGGTCACCAGGGTAACCAGCTCCTCCTCACCGAGGTGAAAACATGAAGGCCGAATCCGTCTGGTGCTGGTCTCTAAAGACCAGGACCCGTACTCGTCAGGACCCACTTTAGTCTTTGGAGCTGAGAGTCACGACATTTAGTGAAGAATAAAAGTATCAGATGTCTTTATTTCACACTATACAGTACTGCACAGAATAACAGGAAATCTTACAGAACGTACAGAACCAGAACTCAGAGACCCTGTTTCTCCTTCTAACTTACTACGTTTCTGTAAGTCTCTCCGGGGTCTCGTGCCTCTTTCTGATTTTGCAGCAGCTTTTCTAGAAAATAGTGAGTTTTGATGTTTTAGGCGGTTTTTTTTGATGAAATTGTGGGAATAAGTGAAACTGATATTTTTACATTTAGAATTGTAGTTAACTCATTAACCAGCCCCTCCAGGACTTGGTGGGCCTGGGTGACCCTGACCCTGACCCTGACCCTGCATGTTTAAAGCAGCTGGTTCTGTCTTGCAGCTGAGCGGATGCAGCAGCCGGTCTGACGTTCTCTCTCAAAGCGTTTGTCAGGAGACTATTTCCTTCCTGTTTGACCACGATCCTGTACGTTCTGCAGAACAAGAAGATCTGGATCCTGGTCTCACGGTCCTTTGCCGTTGTTGCTGGAAGTAAATGTGAGACGTTGGTGTGACACGTATGCTGCGTCTCCTGAACAAGGACGTGAGTTTACTGACAGGTGACAGCGTTTAGAAGGAAACGGAGATGAGATCTGCAGGGAAGTTGAGGTTGATGGTGAATTCTCAGGGATTTGTTGAAGCGACATGGTGAAAATACACACGGCAGGTACCCAAACGTAGACAGAGAGTTTAAACAGGAAACATCGAACGTACGGACGAAACTAAACTCACTAATTGTTCTACAGCTGCGTCGCTGCAGCTCACAGCGAGCAGCTTCAGAGCTCATTCTCGCACAGATCACGATTGGTCTCTGAGATCACACTACATCAGGTCTGTGGTCAGGTGACCCGGCTCACCTGATCCAGGTGTGTTGCTGCTCTCTGCAGGTCTGACGGCGGCGGCGATGGCCGAGGCGCTGAAGCTGCAGAAGATGAGGATGATGATGGGTTTCCATGGCAACTGTGATCAGCAGCAACATCACAACAACGGTGCCGAGTCTGACAACGACACGGGTACACCATGACATCATCACGCATCACCTCCTCTCCTTGCCCCCTTGTCTCCTTACCTCCTCTCTCCTTGTCTCCTCTCCTGCAGGAGGCAGTGAAGCATCCTGGGAGAAGGAGCGGCGCCTCCTGTCTCCTCCACCCTCCTCCGTTGTGGCTCCTCCTCCTGGTTCGGCGTCTCTCCACCTCAACACTCTGCAGCAGCACAGCACCCTATTGGCCAACCGTGAGTCACAGCTCTCCTCTGATTGGATAACTGTTGTTAGCTTAGCATCGTAGCGCCTCAGTACTTCAGCTTGTCCTTTTGCGTCCTCAGGTCTGTCAGAACTTCCTTTTATGGTCATGCCACACCCCCTCCTCCCTGTGGGCTTGCCCCCAGCCAGTGTTGCCATGGCGATGAACCAGATGAGTCACCTGAGCGGTTTGGCAAACATGGCCGCCATGTCACATGTTCAGAGAGAGGAAAGCAAGGCGAGCTAATACCGCTAGTGTTAATGTTGATAGTACTACTGTTAAAAGTGCTAATGCTAAAATTGAGAATGCTAACAGAGCTAATGCTAGACGAGCTGCTGCTAACAGTGCTAATACTAACAGCATTAATATAATGGTGTTGTGGCTAACACTGCTAAGGGTAACGGTACTAATGCTAACAGAGTAAATCTCATAATGCTAACAAAGCTGTTTCTTAAAGTGGTACTGCTAATTATGCTAATGCTAACAGAGCAAATCTTACATGTCATAATGCTAACAAAGCTGTTTCTTAAAGTGGTACTGCTAACTATGCTAATGCTAACAGCCCTGATAATTAAACTAATAACATTAAAAATGCTATTGCTAACAGTGCTAATATTAACTGTTAATATAAAAGTGCTCCTTTGCTGCTGCTAACAGTGCTAATGTTAACCTGATGTGTTCAGGAGTCTCCTCTGAGAAGCCCCTCCCCCAGTGATGATGAGCTCCGCCCCCAAGAACCAACCAGCCAATCACCTTCCAGAGCATCTTCATCCTCGTCATCATCACCTCCTCCTCCAGCACGCACACCAGAGCCGGGTGCGCACACACAAACACACGTTAGTGATGGTCGAATCAGACCGAGCTGCTCAGAAACTAACTCGTGTTGTGATGAATCTCCGCAGACGGCGAGTTTGCAGAGCGAGAACACAACACGAAGAAGGTGCTGAAAGAAAAAGGTGAGCAGATTTTTTTTTTCATTTTATTTATTTGTTTATTTGAAAAGGGACAATGTACCCTGATCAACATTCAAAGCAAATTGAAGCGTACCCGAGTTCGCCACAGGCTAGTTTTCACCGGCAGTCCCCTTTCCAGATGTTATTGGGCACATTATACAACTGACAAAGGTGTTAAAAAATCACAAATGATCGAAGATGAGCAGATGAAATCTAAAGATAGATGCTACAGTTATTGTTGGTGGATGGGACCAGCGTCAGTGTTTCTATAAGCCATTTCCTAACGTTACTCTTACATGAGTAACAGGATGCAGACGCTCTAATCGATGGCGGCATCAGTTCCACTGATGTGACGCTGTGAATGAAAAGACGGCTGAATGCAGTTGTTTTGAGTGGGATTGTGCGGTCCCTCCTAGCTGCACCTCTAGTAACTCTGCTTTTGATTTAAGGAGGAGGAGCTAAACTGTGCGAGATCATATAAACTAAGGAGTTTATACTTGTTTAGAACGAAATGGCCCAAAAGTGCTTGTTTGTATGATGACTTCAGTGGTTTTAAGGCTGTCGAGCGTGCGTTGGACCAACTTATCAGACAGCAGGTGATGTGGGAGAGAACCTGCTGCCGCAGTAGATAGGAGGTTTCTGATGTACCTGAAATTAGCCCAACTGAACTTTACTTTATTACAGACCTTCTTTATGTGGGTTTTGAAGGTTTGAGTCTAAGTACTTGAAGGTTTGAGTCTAAGTACTTGTATTCTGAGACAACTTTTAGGAACATTCAGTTGCAAACAACAGTGATTAAGCCAGGATGTGACTTCCCTAATGCATCTGTTAGCTTGAATGCAACCTCCTCAGCAGTCTTACCATGAGTAAAAATAACTGTATCACATTAAAATATCACGATTTCCTCAAACAGAAGGTAAATCATTAATGTATATGATAAAAAGGGTTGGACCAAGTATGGAGCCCTGCGGGACCCCGGTTGAAAGACGTAGGGGGTTAGATTTATATAATTTTGACATGTTGAGAGCGGAATGACTGACCAACTCTAAAGAAAAATTGAAATTCGGTAAACCCAAACGTGCATTGGGGTGATCTGGAGAGGGATTTCACATCCCGGAGACGTTGAGGACCTGGACTCCATGAGGCGGCTGCTCGGAGTTCAGAAGATCGCTGGTACCTGTCCGGGCAGCAACCTGAGAACCTGCTGGTGGAAGGCTGGTCAGGCTGGATGGCTTGGTCCTCCCAGGGTTCTCCCCGAGACCGTTATCATGAGGCCAAAAGGACTGAAGCAAAAACTGGTGGAAGGAAGACCGAGGAACTCCTGAACCCGGCCGACACGAGTTCAGATCCTGCAGGAGTAGCTGGAAGAAGTTAATCATCAGAAACCTGGATCAGATCTTTACAGGGTTAGGGTTTCCTGGTTTACAATACTCTGGACAGAATATCCAGGATTCTCAAAACCAGGATCTGATGTTGACATGCAAAAACACACGGCCTGGATGCCAAAATGTTACAGAACACCAGATGGCACAAAGAGAACAGTTGGATGTGACAGGAGAGAAACAACAGAATAATAACAACACACAAATACTGTGTACGTGTACTTGTACACATATATGTGTACTTGTGAGGACATCATGTATTCCCCTTTGTATAGATGTCTAAAACACTGGTCCTCACAAAGACAGAAATACAGAAGCACACACACACACACACAGCTGATGAATAACAGAGACAGGAAGCTTTTATTAAATCTCTTCAAATATTCTGCAGGTTGTTTGTTTATTGGCTGAAACAAACAAACCTCCCTGTCTTTGTTTCTACCTGCAGATGACAGCCTGTTGCCCCTCCCCCTCCTCAAACCAACCTATGAGAAGCTGCCGCTCACCTCTCAGCCACTGTCAATCAACCACGCAAATCCCGCCTTCGGCCCGTTCCTGTTGGCTGAGGGTCTGTCGTCCATGGAGACCCTGCTGACCAACATACAGGTGACAGAGCTGTCCTGAAATAATGCAGAGACAGTAACGGACTCCCGGGTGTCCCCGTGGACCTCCGGTCCATTCATGTGTTCCACCAGGATGGCGAATCATCACTTCAGTTTGTTTGACTGTTCTCAGGGTCTCCTGAAGGTGGCGGTGCAGAGCGCTCGTTCTCATGACAAACAGAACCAGATGGAGAGGAAAGAGTTAAAACTGGAGCTGGAGAGAGAGAGAGACGCCAGGCAGACACTACAGAGACAGCTGAGCTCCGAACTGCAGAGCAGAGGTAAGACGGGTCACAGACCAGGTGTGAGATGGGTTACAGACCAGACGTGAGACGGGTCACAGACCAGGTGTGAGATGGGTTACAGACCAGACGTGAGACGGGTCACAGACCAGGTGTGAGACGGGTTACAGACCAGACGTGAGACGGGTCACATACCAGGTGTGAGACGGGTCACATACCAGGTGTGAGACAGGTTACAGACCAGACGTGAGACGGGTTACAGACCAGACGTGAGACAGGTTACAGACCAGGTGTGAGAGAGAGGAGTCACAGACCAGAGCAGACCAGGTGTGAGACAGGTTACAGACCAGAGGTGAGACGGGTCAGAGACCAGGTGTGAGACGGGTCACATACCAGGTGTGAGACAGGTTACAGACCAGAGGTGAGATGGGTTACAGACCAGACGTGAGACGGGTTACAGACCAGGTGTGAGACAGGTTACAAACCAGGTGTGAGACGTGTTACAGACCAGAGGTGAGACGGGTCACAGAAAAGAGCAGACCAGGTGTGAGACAGGTTACAGACCAGAGGAGAGACGGGTCAGAGATCAGGTGTGAGACGGTTCACAGACCAGACGTGAGACGGGTCACAGACCAGACGTGAGAAAGGTTACAGACCAGGTGTGAGAGAGAGGAGTCACAGACCAGAGCAGACCAGGTGTGAGACAGGTTACAGACCAGAGGTGAGACGGGTCAGAGACCAGGTGTGAGACGGGTCACATACCAGGTGTGAGACGGGTTACAGACCAGAGGTGAGATGGGTTACAGACCAGACGTGAGATGGGTTACAGACCAGGTGTGAGACAGGTTACAAACCAGGTGTGAGACGTGTTACAGACCAGAGGTGAGACGGGTCACAGAAAAGAGCAGACCAGGTGTGAGACAGGTTACAGACCAGAGGAGAGACGGGTCAGAGATCAGGTGTGAGACGGTTCACAGACCAGAGCAGACCAGGTGTGAGACAGGTTACAGACCAGGTGTGAGACAGGTTACAAACCAGGTGTGAGACGTGTTACAGACCAGAGCAGAACAGGTGTGAGACAGGTTACAGACCAGGTATGAGACGTGTTAAAGACCAGGTATGAGAGGGGTCCCTGTGTGTGTGCTCAGTGTCGATCCAGCGGCGGCTGAAGAAGGAGAAGAAGGCGAAGAGGAAGCTGCAGGAGGCGCTGGACTTTGAGTCGAGGAGGAGAGAGCAGGTGGAGAGAGCACTCAAACACTCGGATTCCCTCACAGGTGACACACGCTCATCCTCCTCCTCCTCATCTTCTCATGCTTTAATTACACTACTGTTCTTCTTCTGTGTTCATTCCTGGACTCCTCCTCCTGCTTGTAGATTTAACTAAAAGTATCATTACAACATGTACAAGCTACATTATAAAGTACAGAAGTATTATCAACTAAATGTACTCGCAGTATCCAAAGTAAAAGTTTCTTGATTATAAAGTAGAAAGTATTACTGGCACAGTCTGTGAAGCTGGGTTTGAATCTTTGCTCGCTGCTCTGCCTGTGAGCCTTCAAACACTCAGGATTCTTCTGTTTCCAGTCATGTGGTGATCAAGTCCGTCAGCATCCAGGCAGCTGAGAGATCTGAGAAAATATCAGAACATGTTGATCAAGCGGTTACTGCAGAGGCCGACACTGATCACTACATTACACATGAAACAGTGACGGTCCAACTCTGAAAGTACTGCAAACAATACGTTCAATAACTGAGAACAAGAGGAAACATTGTGCCATCACAGCGACCAGGGTTTATGTTGATGCTCGTTAAATGATATTGGATCTGACTCAAAGGTTTTAAGGTTTTAAAACAGATAAACAACCCGATTTTTCCTGATTCAGTTTAGAACCTCAGGAACCAAAGAAGGAACACAGATTTGGGGCCGATGTGTTTTAATGTTGATCAGCTGATCAATATCTGAATCTATAATCGCTGACCCGTCTTCCTGTTTTCTGATGCAGGTCTTCCTGAGAACGAGCTGGAGAACCAGCAGGAGAACTCAGCGGCTCGAGGTGATGACATCACTCTGATTAATCTGAATCAGCCAATCGGCTCCGACCGATTGATAATCTGAGATTATTTCACCAGTTTTAATAAAAAGTCCATGAAAGTTATCTCTGACAGTTTATTTAATTTCCAGCTAAAACATCTTCCTGTAGTTTCACTTTGGCTCTCTCCTGTTTGACGGCGTTTCATCGTCTGAACGGACCAATAAATCACCAAATAAACGAATCAGATTCATCTAGAAAGGAAACGCGAGCTGAGTCTGCGTGTCGACTGTGAAATTGAATCAGGAAAAACAATCACAAACTGCACAGCAGAACCAACACACACACCTGTAAACACTGTGTGTGCGTTTCCTCCACGCCGACGTGATAACAAGACTCGTACATCAGAGCAGCGAGGTCTTCTTCTTCTTCCTGTTTGCTTCAGAAACAAACTGAGCGACCGGATGCAGCTGACAGGAAGTGACCTTGTGTTCTGTCGTTCTGTCTTTGGAGCATCAATAATAAATGATGTAAGTTCTGATCTTGCTCGCCGGGTTCTTCAGTACGCCTGGAGCACTGCTGCTGTATGAAAGGGTTCTGCAGTGACACGGGGCCCCTGGTCTAAAGGTTTAAACCTTCTGCGTTTTGTAGTTTTTCTGTTTCAGCGTGAATCAGTTTGAGTTTAACGAAACGTTCTGTGTGTTTCTGCAGAGAACCGAGTCTTCATCAAACCTCCTCTCCTCTTCTGAGACCTCAGACCGGATGAAGGCTCAGACTCAGACTCAGACTGGACCACTAAACAACACCAGAGGAACTCAAACTCCCATCAGCCACTTCTGTTTCTGCTTCCTGTTTATAAAGATTATTATTGTTATTAAAGAGAACAGCATCATGTCACCTTGAAGGGGGAGGAGTTTAAATGTCACATGACCACTTATGATGTCATCAGGTGGAATACCTGCAGGACTGTTTATCTTCAGGGCCCCCAGCTGGATCTGAACCAGGGGGACAAGACTGACCTGGACTCTGCTGAATACAGGTGTCGTAGTTCCCACCTGTAGAGGGCGGAGTCACACCTCTTTTTATAAACGTGTATTTAATGTTTGTAAACTTCTGTAGAACTTTAGTCTTTGGTAGTTAGTCGCAGTACTGATACTACTGCTGTAGTACTTAACATGTAGTAGTGGAAATACTGTCACAGTGCATTTACTGGGATTTTCACCAGAAGGAGCTCTGACCGTTAACGAGTTCTGATCCTTAACGAGTTCTGATCCTTAACGAGCTCTGACCCGTAACAAGTTCTGATCCTTAACAAGTTCTGATCCTTAACGAGCTCTGACCCGTAACAAGTTCTGATCCTTAACGAGCTCTGACCCGTGACAAGTTCTGATCCTTAACGAGCTCTGACCCTTAACGAGCTCTGACCCGTAACAAGTTCTGATCCTTAACAAGTTCTGATCCTTAACGAGCTCTGACCCGTAACGAGTTCTGATCCTTAACAAGCTCTGACCCGTAACAAGTTCTGACCCTTAACAAGTTCTGATCCTTAACGAGCTCTGACCCTTAACAAGTTCTGACCCTTAACGAGCTCTGACCCGTAACAAGTTCTGATCCTTAACGAGCTCTGACCCGTAACAAGTTCTGATCCTTAACGAGTTCTGACCCTTAACGAGCTCTGACCCGTAACAAGTTCTGACCCTTAACAAGTTCTGACCCTTAACGAGCTCTGACCCGTAACAAGTTCTGATCCTTAACAAGTTCTGACCCTTAACGAGTTCTGACCCGTAACGAGTTCTGATCCTTAACAAGTTCTGACCCTTAACAAGCTCTGACCCGTAACGAGCTCTGACCCGTAACAAGTTCTGATCCTTAATGAGCTCTGACCCTTAACGAGCTCTGACCCGTAACGGGCTCTGACTCTTAACAAGTTCTGACCCTTAACAAGCTCTGACCTTTAACGAGCTCTGACCCTTAACGAGTTCTGACCCGTAACGAGCTCTGACCCGTAACAAGTTCTGACCCTTAACAAGCTCTGACCCGTAACGGGCTCTGACTCTTAACAAGTTCTGATCCTTAACGAGTTCTGATCCTTAACGAGCTCTGATCCTTAACGAGCTCTGATCCTTAACGAGCTCTGACCCGTAACGGGCTCTGACTCTTAACAAGTTCTGACCCTTAACGAGCTCTGACCTTTAACGAGCTCTGACCCGTAACGGGCTCTGACCCTTAACGAGCTCTGACCCGTAACAAGTTCTGACCCTTAACAAGCTCTGACCCGTAACGGGCTCTGACTCTTAACAAGTTCTGATCCTTAATGAGTTCTGATCCTTAACGAGCTCTGACCCGTAACAGGCTCTGACTCTTAACAAGTTCTGGCCCTTAACGAGCTCTGACTCTTAACAAGCTCTGACCCTTAACGAGGCAGCCGTTAGTCTTCCAGCTGATTGGTTGTCTGTTTTCTTCTTGTTGTAAATACTGAACCGAGCAGGAACCGGATTCTACACAGAACCTGAAGTTTTAATCTTTGAAAAGGTCATGATGAGGTCACAATGAGGTCATGATGAGGTCACAATGAGGTCATGATGAGGTCACCAGTCCAGTTGTATTTTTCTATAATCTGGTTTTAATAAAAATAAATAATCTGACTTTGTTTTACATTTGTTTCCTACTGACACGTAGTAATACTGCAGTGTGTAGTATTTATATATGGTACAGCATGTATACACTGTATTGAGTCTACATAGAGATCGTACTGGTCTAACTGGTATCTATACTGGTAAAATGGTGAATTTATATTTATTAGGCTACTAGAATATACTATATCTATAGATACATATATCTCAGAATAACCTGCAGCTGTTCTGGTCCGACTGGTTTAACTGGCCGTAACAACAGAACCAGCAGATGACCCGGTGAGCTCTTTGTTCTCAGCGCTGCTCTCTGATTGGTCCACAGTGTGTGTATGTTAGTGATGGATGGACGTGTAAATTGTGTCACGACATTAACCTGTTGAGTTCTAGCCCAGTTACACACACACACACACACACACACACACACACACACACACACACAGACACACAGACACACACACACACACACACACACACACACACACACACACACACACACACACACAGACACACAGTAACACACACACACACACACACACACACACACACACACACACACACACACACACACACACACTGTAACACACACACACACACACACACACACACAGTAACACACACACACACACACACAGTAACACACACACACACACACACAGTAACACACACACACACACACACACAGTAACACACACACACACACAGACACACTGTAACACACACACACACACAGACACACTGTAACACACACACACACACAGTAACACACACACACACAGTAACACACACACACACAGTAACACACACACACACAGTAACACACACACACACACTGTAACACACACACACACACACACTGTAATACACACACACACACACACACACTGTAACACACACACACAGACTCACTGTAACACACACAGACACACTGTAACACACACAGACACACTGTAACACACACACACAGACACACTGTAACACACACACACACAGACACACTGTAACACACACACACACACACTGTAACACACACACACACACACACACTGTAACACACACACACACACACACACAGTAACACACACACACACACACACACACACACACACACACACACACACTGTAACACACACTGTAACACACACACACACACAGACACACTGTAACACACACTGTAACACACACACACACACACACTGTAACACACACACACACAGACACACTGTAACACACAGACACACACACACACTGTAACACACACACACACACTCACACACCTTGTTCCCACGGCGACCCGGTTCAGCAAATGAGAGCGTCAGGTCACCTTTTGGCTTCATCGCCTCTGTGACACACACATCGCTCAGTGTGTGTGCGCGCACGCTGCGATCTGATTGGTCGACTCTGTCTGTCACTGTGATGAATGAAATCATTGGAGCAAGACGACAACCAATCAGAGGCAGCGTCAGTGTTCAGCCTGTTACAGGAAGAAGGTCTGAAATTAAATACATATACATATAAACATGCTGTACTTCTATATAAAGTACAACATATAAACATGCTGTATTTTATATGTAAAGTACAACATATAAACATGCTGTACTTTACATGTAAAGTACAACATATAAACATGCTGTACTTTACATGTAAAGTACAACATATAAACATGCTGTACTTTATATATAAAGTACAACATATAAACATGCAGTACTTCTATATAAAGTACAACATATAAACATGCTGTACTTTATAGTACTTTATATGTAAAGTAAAACATATAAACATGCTGTACTTTATATGTAAAGTTTAAACATGCTGTACTTTATATGTAAAGTACAACATATAAACATGCTGTACTTTATATGTAAAGTTTAAACATGCTGTACTTTATATGTAAAGTACAACATATAAACATGCTGTACTTTATATGTAAAGTACAACATATAAACATGCTGTACTTTATATGTAAAGTACAACATATAAACATGCTGTACTTTACATGTAAAGTACAACATATAAACATGCTGTACTTTATATGTAAAATTTAAACATGCTGTACTTTATATGTAAAGTACAACATATAAACATGCTGTACTTTACATATAAAGTACAACATATAAACATGCTGTACTTTATATGTAAAGTACAACATATAAACATGCTGTACTTTACATGTAAAGTACAACATATAAACATGCTGTACTTTACATATAAAGTACAACATATAAACATGCTGTACTTTATATGTAAAATTTAAACATGCTGTACTTTATATGTAAAGTACAACATATAAACATGCTGTACTTTATATATAAAGTACAACATATAAACATGCAGTACTTCTATATAAAGTACAACATATAAACATGCTGTACTTTATAGTACTTTATATGTAAAGTAAAACATATAAACATGCTGTACTTTATATGTAAAGTTTAAACATGCTGTACTTTATATGTAAAGTACAACATATAAACATGCTGTACTTTATATGTAAAGTTTAAACATGCAGTACTTTATATGTAAAGTACAACATATAAACATGCTGTACTTTATATGTAAAGTACAACATATAAACATGCTGTACTTTATATGTAAAGTACAACATATAAACATGCTGTACTTTATATGTAAAATTTAAACATGCTGTACTTTACATGTAAAGTACAACATATAAACATGCTGTACTTTACATATAAAGTACAACATATAAACATGCTGTACTTTATATGTAAAGTACAACATATAAACATGCTGTACTTTATATGTAAAGTACAACATATAAACATGCTGTACTTTACATATAAAGTACAACATATAAACATGCTGTACTTTATATGTAAAATTTAAACATGCTGTACTTTATATGTAAAGTAAAACATGCTGTAATTTATATGTAAAGTTTAAACATGCTGTACTTTATATGTAAAGTACAACATATAAACATGCTGTACAACATATAAACATGCACTACTTTATATATAAAGTACAACATATAAACATGCTGTACAACATATAAACATGCAGTACTTTATATGTAAAGTTTAAACATGCTGTACTTTATATGTAAAGTACAACATATAAACATGCTGTACAACATATAAACATGCATTACTTTATATAAAGTACAACATATAAACATGCAGTACTTTATATGTAAAGTTTAAACATGCTGTACTTTATATGTAAAGTACAACATATAAACATGCTGTACTTTATATATAAAGTACAACATATAAACATGCTGTACAACATATAAACATGCTGTACAACATATAAACATGCAGTACTTTATATGTAAAGTAAAACATATAAACATGCTGTACTTTATATGTAAAGTACAAAATATAAACATGCTGTACTTTACATGTAAAGTACAAAATATAAACATGCTGTACTTTACATGTAAAGTACAACATATAAACATGCTGTACTTTATATGTAAAGTAAAACATATAAACATGCTGTACTTTACATGTAAAGTACAACATATAAACATGCTGTACTTTATATGTAATGATTAAACATGCTGTACTTTATATGTAAAGTTTAAACATGCTGTACTTTACACATAAAGTACAACATATAAACATGCTGTACTTTACATGTAAAGTACAACATATAAACATGCTGTACTTTATATGTAATGATTAAACATGCTGTACTTTATATGTAAAGTAAAACATGCTGTAATTTATATGTAAAGTTTAAACATGCTGTACTTTATATGTAAAGTACAACATATAAACATGCAGTACTTTATATGTAAAGTACAACATATAAACATGCTGTACAACATATAAACATGCAGTACTTTATATATAAAGTACAACATATAAACATGCAGTACTTTATATGTAAAGTACAACATATAAACATACTGTACTTTATATATAAAGTACAACATATAAACATGCAGTACTTTATATGTAAAGTTTAAACATGCTGTACTTTATATGTAAAGTACAACATATAAACATGCTGTACAACATATAAACATGCAGTACTTTATATATAAAGTACAACATATAAACATGCAGTACTTTATATGTAAAGTACAACATATAAACATGCTGTACAACATATAAACATGCTGTACAACATATAAACATGCTGTACTTTATATGTAAAGTACAACATATAAACATGCAGTACTTTATAAAGACTCGGTCATGTGACCGGTTCAGCCTGAGGGATCCTGGCTTTGTACTGGAGCTGTTTGTTACAACGAACAATAAAGTTTGAGAGAGTTTCTGAGCTAAACGGGTCAGAAGAGACTGCTGGAGCTGAAAACAACAAATCGGGTCAAAATAAAAAACATTAAAACAAAACAAACTTTGTCTTTGATGTTCTACTTCCTGTTGGAGCGGATGGTGGGCGGAGCTCTGAGGCCTCATTAGGCTGCTCGTTAGCATCTTCAGAAACATCCAGATACATATTCATCAGTCCAGCTGTCCGTCAACACACACGGTAATTAACAAACACTCGTTAGCGTTGTTGACGTTAAACTGGAGGCTCTATAAGTCCTGTTGTCCGTCAACAACAACAACACAAACAGTTTGATGTCTTAACGAGCTCAACGACTAATTAGTACAAACACACACGCTCTTCCTGCACTAATTAGCTCCGCTGTAATTAGACCTCACGCCTCTTAATTAACGAGCTGATCGGACTGAGATCAGCTGATGTGGACCTGCTGTTTGTTCTGATGAGAACACGCTGTGGAACATGTTCTCAAGGTCAGAGTTACAATGCTAAACATGAACAAGACGGTCACCGGCCTTCCTGTCATCTATTAAACCATCAATACCTGCCACACCCACTAACCACCACTCAAGAGCCCAGTGGAACCTGCTTTCAAACCAGTGGAACCTGCTTTTAAACTAGTGGAACCTGCTTTCAAACCAGTGGAACCTGCTTTTAAACCAGTGGAACCTCCTTTTAAACTAGTGGAACCTGCTTTTAAACCAGTTGAACCTGCTTTTAAACCAGTGGAACCTGCTTTCAAACCAGTGGAA